AGTGGGAGAACTTGCACAATTGGTGGCTGACTAAATACTTTTTTGCCCCACTGTAGCAGGGATTCCAGGAATACTGTTTATTGTTGTAAGGTAGAATAACTGAATGTTGAAAGCCTGTCCAAGTTTTGCTCTGTCCCATCTTATACTAAATAAGTTTTTGCAGGAAATTGGTGAGATTTCATTTCCCCCTAGCCTCCAACAAATATGGACAGTGGCAAGGTATTGTGGAAATTGCAGTCCAAAGTTATCTGGAGGGCAGTAGTAGCCTATCTTTGATTTAGGGCTTTAATTCTGGGGAGGTGTTTTGATGGGAGGTGTTTTGTGGCAGAAAAATAAAGCCAGAACAACTTTGTATTGCTGTTTCTTCTTAGCTACTATAAGGAGAAACGTGTGTTTTATCTAAGTATATTGGAGCCCTATTGAAGGAACCAATACATCATCTTGTTTTCTGTCTATGAGGTTGCCTAGTGACAAACGCAATGCATTTATATACCTGTGGTGCCACCTCCAATGTAAATGACTGATCTAAGTATGGCTGTCTAATTGGAGCATTCTGTCAAAATAATCAACCTGAGCAGAGTTAGAACTGTAGGATTGTCATCATGCCACTAAATGCAGATGCATCATCATGTAAATGTAAATGATGACTTGGTCTTTTTTTCTCTCTTTAAACACTAGTTTGCCATTGGTACGTATGGCCACGTGCTGCTGAATGTTCTGCTGAGATGTGGAATGAATTCTGTGGTTCCCCCATTTTGACTGGAATAGAGCTTAGCATTAAACCATCTTCTCTGTTCCTTTGGTGATTCAGCTCAGAGAAGTGCATCAACATGATGCTCTCATAGTACACTATGTTGCTAAGCAGATGGTCTGTAAGGCAGTATATCAGCTGAATTCATCTTTGAGGCATGTGGTTTGTTCTAAGATACATGAGCTGTTATAAGCAAGGAAAGATACGTTTTGCAGCCAGAGAATGCATTATAGATGCGTAAGGCATTTATAGGATATGAGTATATGCTTCAAAAGGCCTACTTCAATACTTCTTTAAAACCAGCAGTACCTTATGACAATAAACAGCACTGGCTTCAATATTCAGTTTATGATATCTAAAAGTTTTAACACTGGCAGAAAAAAAAAATTGCCATGGTAATTGTGGACATGGAGTCTCTCAAAGGACATGCAACACTGCTGAATCAACCATGATAGAGACAGCAGTGATTGTGGGACTTTTTGCACTGATGTCCACTGAGGATCAGGCTGGGCACCTCCCTTAAAATCCTTCTTTTGGCACAGTTCATAGGGAATTGTTCTTCAATTAAGTTTAAGTAGACATTACTGAGCAGAATACATATGATTCCTCTTTTGTTCCTGCTTCTATTTTCCTTTGTGTCCTCAAAATAGATTGTAAGTCTCAGAGGAAGGGACCTCTGTGCTTAGTAACATTTCTGAGTAACTGAAATGAGTAACTGAGTAACATTTCTTTTTTTATATAGTATTTTATTAAAAATTACAATTAAAAAGATAAAAACTAATACAAACTAAAAAAAGAAAAAACAAAGTGCAAAAAAGAAAAACAAATAGAAAGAAAAATAGAAAAGAAAGAAATAAGAATACAGTAAAGAAAAAGAAATATATAAAGAAATGAATTCCCCCTTCATCACAAGTATAAACAATTTTAGTAACTTATCAAAATACCACAAATGATCTCTTCTTCCCATATCTCATCTCTTATCTATAAACAAGCCCTTAAACCCTCATCATTCAGTCCTGATCAGTAAAAGTCCATTAAGGGTTACCAGAGATAACAACACATTTATTTTAACTTTGATCAAATAAACCAACTTTATATTCTTTTCTTTTACTTTTAATAATCTTGATCTTTAGTCCCTTCAAATAATGTCCTAGAACTTGATTTCTTTTCATTATTTCTTTGTCCCTTCTCACAAAATTATTCAAAACTTTAACAAGACTCTTTTGTAAATCCAATATAGGAAAATTATCCAGGTCACTCTTTTGTATATTATTTGTATATCCCTTTTAAGTCATGAGCCGGTTTCATTTGTATGTCCAGTGTAGCATCTTTTTCCATATCATTCTTGTAGTCCATCATTTTTAAATCCATTTTCAGATCAGTTTCAGTCTTATCCAGTAAAACTTGTTCTTCTTCCATAACATCTTTCAAGCACAATCTATCTATAATGGCACACACTCTTAAAATTAATTTCTGGGTCCATTGTTCAAAAATATCCTTCAATAAAAATTTTGCTCCATTCTGTAATAGTAAGTCAAATTTAAGTGTTCTCCACTTTTATTTGTAATCTTTAGTTCCTTCTGGTTCCCTCTAGTGTCCAACCTTCAAAATCTTATCCTATCACTTTTTTAAAGAGAATTCAAAACAAAAGCATTTTCCCATGGGAAGGATTCTTATAATTAATTCCAAAATCTTATTTCAAATTCATCTGGACCCTGAGTCCACTTGTAACTTTCCAAAATCAAGATTCTAATCACTCTTTTTCTGTTTATTCCAAAAAAATTTTTTAAGTCCTTAAACTTGTAGTTAAAACTTCTTTCGCTAAGAATTGAAAGAAACTCACCCAATGCTGTAAAACCTGTCAATCCAAAGGTTCCTAATAGCTGAAAAGCAGTTAACAACCAATTTCCAAAAGTGATTAGAAAAAAAAGTATACAAACCCAGTGTCCTTTTGAAAGGCGCTGACCACAGTTTGAACAGAGATGTCTATTCCTTCATCTCTCAGAGCAGTAAACTCACCGGAGATCACTGTCTTGTGGTCTCCTCGCAAGGAGCAACTGTATGGAGTACTTGTGGGCAATCTCAAGTCTTTTCCTTGTCTGGAGAAGAATTAGCTTCCAGAACTGTGGCTCTTCATTCCACCACAGTTGTCTGCAGTTCGCCATTTCTTCCCCAGAAGTCAGTAACTCAGTAATATTTCAAGAACAGTATTTTTGAACTAAAAGTTATTTTTAAGAAGACAGATTAGAAATCAAACTGTGTTGTGACTCTCCCATCCAGATCTAGGTTTGTAACTAAATTAAAGTTTGCAGGAGTGGTTTCAAACAAGGTTTTTGTACTGTTACCTTGCTCAGTCACAGACTTCAACAAAATGTCCAGACAACATTGTCTTCTATTTGTAACCGTCCCATCACTTTTCCATCTTTTTCTTATTTAAAAATATGTAACAGATAAAAAGATGGTGCGGCTCTGCAGGGTCTTAGTAGTGCCAGGAGCTGTCAACTCGGAAACAGTTTTTTCTTTTCTGTGCAGCCACCAGTTTAGGGAAGAAAAACTCTCCTTTGTAATCTCATTTTTAATAGCATATTTACTTTTGGCACCTACTTGAAAACTTCTGGCAAACTGTAAATGCACAATAGTGCTTTTTTATCAGATGTGGCACATTTCTGTTTTGTTATTAGGTGAGGTATGATGCCATAAAGATTCCAAAATGGTCTCCATTTTCAGAGATGCACCCAGCTGATTATTATTCTTCTTACACCAAGAACTGCAGTGGGCAATTTACACAGGAAGAAATCAGAAACATTCGAGCACATTATTATGCCATGTGTGCAGAAACGGATGCCATGCTAGGTAGGTGATAGTCCTAGTATCTTACTACTTTCATAATGTATATATTCATGGTATAACACTGAACGTGGTTATCATCCTGATCCTAGTGATGCAGAAGCTGTAGTCTTTAATTGTACATTGTCAGAAATTTTAGAACTCTTATCTGTTGGAAGCTTTTTTTTTTTTTTCCCAGAATGTGCTTGAAGGTATTTTATATTAGATCTTCCTTTATCCTTTATTTATTTAGATATCTGCCTGTATAGATTCATGAAGAATATAATACAGCCATGTTAAAATACTCAGCATTATAAGTCTTTCACGTGATGACATCAAAACTATATCTGGAAATGTGCATATGTAGCCGCTACCAATTATAAGATCAATTACTTTCTTGGCCCTTTAGAGCAGGGGAGATTCATAACATTCTGGAATACTTTCACGTGCACCCTCGTGAAAAGGATATTTCTTTGGATCAAGGAAAACAGCTCTTCCCTCAGGGGCTAGTTCTTGGTATTTAAATAGGCTCCTACTACTTTGCTGAAGGCAGTTGGTGGTAGTTCACCACCACTTGTAGTACTGTCTTTTGGCTGCGTGGAAGGAATGTGGTGAAGGGTGGGATCCTGGAGGGACTTCAGGGAGAGGTATTTGTTTGGACTCCTGTACCTTATCTTCCTTTGTGGCCTCAACCTAGCATCTAGGCCAGTGATTCTCAATCTTTTTGAAGCTGCCA